TGGGGGTTTTTGTTAAAAAAAACGAAAAGTGGTCTAAGTTACCCCGCCAGTCTAAGTTGCCCCATTTTACGGTACTGTCATCAAAGTTGGTTTGTAAGAATTTTGATGAAAATAATGTTTGCAATGCAAATAACATCTTAAAGACTGCTGGCAACATAGTGACAAACCACAGATTTTTTAGAATCAGTTCATTTTTAATTTCCTCATTTACTCACAATTTAAACTAATTTCATATGTATAATAATGCAGGTATCCAGGATACTTTACAGTTTACAGGTCTACATGTAGGACTCAAAAATAAACTTGAGGGAGAGTCTAAAAACTCTCTGCTTTGCTACTATGGCCAGTGAGGAGCAACACGGCAATACATCTCAAAGACTGCTGGTGACGCATCTTGGGTAGGGGTACTGTTGCTGTTGGTGATGTTTTTGGTCCGCAAATGCAAAAATTAACAATTGGTGTATTCACCAAACTCTGCACCCTGGTCCCACACTAGATCAGGTTGGGAAAAGTCCTACTTTTTTCTGAAATATTGCATCTTTAAAATCATATAATTTCAGTAGGTGTGAAATCTTGCTGCTCTAATGTCATGTATTTATGTTTGATCAAAAAAATCGCGGTTTGCACCAGGCATTGAATATATCTAGTAGACGAGCCGCGACTGAATTTTTGGAGCTGTAGTTTTATGGACTTGCCAGCCAAGATTCCATTTCTTTGAACGTGATTCCATTTCTTTGAGCCGTTAATTCCATATCTCAGCCATTAAAAGCCATTTACAAGCCAGCAGCTACAAACTTTTTACTAAGTCCTGTGCCATGTTACCCCTAATCTCTAATATTATCCTAAAAACAGTCAAGACTATTACACTAACATTTGTTTTCACTTGAGTGGCAACTGATCATGTGATAATGTAGTCTGACCGCTTTGACATGACCACAACTACGCGATCTATAAGGAAACGTTTTAGGTTGACTTATTGTTTTGTTGTGCAGGATGTTTTGGTGGGATTGTAGAAATACTAGTGCTGTTTGCAGAAAATGGAAATTTTATGAAATGACAAGTTTGCAGAGTGCAAACCAGCCTTTTTACAATCGAACAAAAATACATGACAATAAAGCCATGAGATTTCTTATCTAGGTACTGAAATTAGATGATATTAGAGCCAGCTGAGCCGCACTATTTAAAAAAATGAATTTTCCCAGTCCTGGTTTGCACTTCGCAAACATGTTGTTTCATAAAATTTTCAACTTCCACAATTCGCTGTTATCCCCACCCCATCGCTTCTATGTATCCTGCAGAACGTAATAACAACAAGTCAACTTAAATGTTTCCTTGGAGTCTGGAGATTGTCTAGTTGCAGTCACATCAGAGGTCAGATTGCATTATCATGTCATTCACATATTCAGTTGCCACCTAAATGAAGACAAATGTTGGTGTTGCTGTGCAATCTGATGGTTTTTAAGGTAGAATTAGATATTTGGGGATTAGGGTAACAGGTGCATGCAACTTTATGAATAGGTTTGTGGCTCGTAAATGACTTTTCATGAAGGCAACCACAGAATTGCCTAGATATGGAATTCACAGCTCAAAGAAATTAGATCACAGCTCAAGTAAATGGCGTCATCGTTGGTGGCTCCTTCATACCATGGTTGCTCATATTCTCTTGTTGTGGGCCGCGTAGTAGATATTTTCCATGCCTGCACTAGGTTAAAGAAATTTTTTTTTTGTGCTGAAAGTTTTGCATTTATTGGTTTACAATTTAGTGAATTTTTTTGCAAAGAAGTAGAAGTAAGAACAAATTTAGATCCAAAGATCTGAACCTATTAGCCAATCATAGCTTAATATTCCTACAATTTGTAATATTGGACAGAAGTTCTTTAAAATGTTTCGTAAAAATGATCATTTCACTTGTGATTTTAAAAATCGTATGTAAAAAATACAATTTTTCTTATTAATAACTGAAAAAATGGGAAAAGACCACAGGAACTGGTGAAACTGACCAGATTTGCGGGCGCTGTTGTCTGATTCACGGGTGGCTTCTGCTAAATTTTTCAGTTAGGATATTCATGAGGTTGCCTCCCATGTCCCCCTAGTTTCTATATTTATATAATAATGTAATAAGAAATTTGAAGGCCTTAGTCAACTCCTTGTTATGTATACTCCATTTTTTGGCCTTGCATGTGATACTTATCGAATGTTCAATCACCTCTATAAATATCATGTATAAATACTCAGCACTGTAAGAATGGGTAGCTCTTCCAGTAAAGATGTGGTTGAAGAAGCAAGGCAACAGAAGCTTGACGTGTCTCATCAACTTTCCCCTCTGCAATACAAAAAGGTTTGAATAAGCTGGTTCATGTATTAATTGAAAGAATTTGAATTTTTGACCACTAATTTTTTTGGTTTAACTGTAAATTATTAACTTACTGTAATATTTAAATGTTGATAAAAGCTAAATTTAATTTATTCATTTGTATTGGCCAAAAGAATATGCCCAATTTTGATTAACATATTTAAAGTTTTTAAATTTCAATTTTAAATAAAGAATATAAGTTGCTTGTATGTTTCAATCATTACCTTCTAATCTAGGGAAATATTTTCTGAGAGAAAATATTTCTGAGAGAAAATATTTCTGAGAAAATCATAAATAACTTCTTGTAAACATTTTAAAAGCTTTTTCAAACTTTTATTGGTACACAATAAAATGCAGTATATGACCAGTATTGTTACATGTTTTTGATTGATGTTGAATTAAGTGATGTATGAAACTTGATGGTCTTATGGATGGTGACAATTTTACAATAGTAAGGATTATAATTTTTGACATTGTAAAGCTGCATTACAAGATGGCTGCAAGGCCTCATTAATAGGGGGACTGCAAATACTTGGCTGATTGGCTATTTGTATGAATCATCACCTACTCATCTTGGTCATTGTTGCGGAACAGTTGTTGAATATGAATGGAGAATATGGTATATATATACCGTATTATCCTTTACTAAATGAATCCTTAATAAAACTGATTTGTGTTCAAAATTGCTGGTTATACAGGGTCCGTCATATTTAAGGCAATGCATGTTTTTTGTTATTCCTCAATGAAACAAACAGGTGCATTGTTTTTTTTTTATTGGATGAGCTAATAGCCAAGAATTACCTAAACAATTCTCAGGCATATTTATTCAATATGACCACCCTTATTTTTAATGACAGCCTCCAATCTACGTGAGAAAGCTTTACAGAAGACACGCAGCATTTATTGAGGGACCAAGTCCCATTCTCATGTCAATTTAGACTTCAAACTATTCAAAGAAGTGTGAGGTGTTCTGCAGACCCTATTCTCTACAATAGCCCACACAGAAAAGTCAAGAGGATTCAAATCAGGGCTTCTTGAAGGCCCTTCATTTTTGCTAGTGAACACTGGGATGTGACCCTGAATCCAGTTTTTGGGTCATGTTTGAGCCATGTGATGGGGCAGAGTCTTGTTGAAAACTCCATGGTGAGCCGTTGAAGTGTTTATGGGCCCAAGGTTTACAGAAGACACGCAGCATTTATTGAGGGACCAAGTCCCATTCTCATGTCAATTTAGACTTTAAACTATTCAAAGAAGTGTGAGGTGTTCTGCAGACCCTATTCTCTACAATAGCCCACACAGAAAAGTTAAGAGGATTCAAATCAGGGCTTCTTGAAGGCCCTTCATTTTTGCTAGTGAACACTGGGATGTGACCCTGAATCCAGTTTTTGGGTCATATTTGAGCCATGTGATGGGGCAGAGTCTTGTTGAAAACTCCATGGTGAGCCGTTGAAGTGTTTATGGGCCCAAGGTAACAACACAGCTTCCAAAATGTCCGAAATGTATCGCTGACTCTTCAATTTCACTCCTGAGGGGAAAAAAACGAGTGGGGACCTCCCAGTGGCAGTTACCACGGCCCAAACCATCATGGACATGGGATTTTGATGTTGGGTTGCTGTTCTGGTTGCTACAGATCCATCCTGACTCCAAACTCTGTCATTTTGACAGTTAATGCTACTATGTTCAATGTCAAATTTTTTCTTGTCACTGAACACCAAGTTGGGCAGCATGCCATCCTCAATGAGATCCAGAATGTGCTGGCATCTTTTGAGCCTCATTTGTTCATGACGGTCTGTTCGTTCATGCCTTGTTTGCATCTTGTAAGTGGAGGTTTTGAGGTCATCTTTGAGGATTCTACGCATTGATGTCTTGACTGACTCCTGCTTCTGCAGCCAATTTTGCAGCTGTGCGACGAGGGTTTCTCCTCAACTTCTCCCTGGTGTTTTTGACCAATTGTTTTGTTCAGACACTTGTTTCCTCCCTTGACCAGGTTGATTGCATGTTTCACCAGTTTCCTTGAATTTTTTTACCACATTCCACACAGTTTCACGACAAATTGGGAGCTTTTTTGCAATGACTGAATTACTCTCACCCTGTCATGAAGGGTTACAACTGCATGTCTATCTACTGCCATAAGTAATATAGTAAATTTAGACACCTTAGACTTCTGCAATATAAAATAGATGAATTAATAGGTGATATTAAGCTTCATTATAAAAGAAAAGTCTCCTAGTAACCAATTTATTTTACATAGCAAACATCTCTTGCCATAAATATGGTGGACCCTGTAAATTGCAAAGATAATTTTCTCAACCCAACAGGTTCTTTTATAGTTGAGATTGTGTTTTTCTGCATTAAAATTATTTAATAAATTTATTTGCTTTCCAGCACACTGATGGTGAATGTCTGGAAGGATGTCTCCTGGAACTTCCATGGGAGATGTGCTACAATACTATTTCTCTCTACCAGATAGTTGATGCCAGCTTCAATTTCATTGGCTCAGTGAGTAGTTTAAAAATGCACTATTGTGCTCGCCATGTCCGTCTGTCTGTCCGTCTGTCCGTGACCTCAAGTTTTCGTCGACGAGAAAATGCGCTCTCTGTCACTCACTGCAGTGATATTCTCTAGAACTCTGCATAATAATGCCCCATCAGTTTAGTGAAGGCATAACTCAGGATTTCTTGCAAATCAATTCCACTAATAGTGAAATAAAGTTTCTTTAATTCCAATAGGTACGGTAGTTGAATTTGGGAATTTTTTTATAAATTGTGAAAATATTTTATTGTTTTACATTTTGTTTAATATCTATATACGGTAGTTATTTAATTCCAAACAGTTGCGCTACAATGCCAAATGTGAAAATTTAAAAATGCTGCTTTTTAATTGTCAAGGAAATGCCAAATACAAATTTTAGTTATTTTCTTCACTCACTCACCATGTTCATTTCCTGTTTATAAATTAGTAAAAAACCATGGAAATGAAATAAAGTATAAAAATCATTTCAAATGATTCAATTTTTTGCTTTTAAGTAAATGTTTATGTAATTTGGCCCCACTGATGCCTTATTTCTGATTTCATTTCAGATTCCATCGGAGCTTTCATTACATGTTCCTCATTTGCGTCATCTGGACTTGTCCCACAACCAGTTGACTGCCTTGCCCCCCACATTCCAGCTACTGCTGCACTTGCGCACACTGTACCTCTCACACAACCGATTCAAACAGTTCCCAGGAGTTGCTGTGTTCAAGCTTCCTCACCTCCACACACTTGACATTTCTCATAATCACCTTAAAGAGCTACCTCAGCAGGGCTGGCAACAACTTTCAGAGGTTAGATTCTTACAAAAAGTTGACTGCTACTGTTGTGAAATCAGAAATAACAGTGAAAGTATAACATTTCTAAATAAAGAGTAAATTTATTATTTATTCAAGATTTTTACAAGGATGATGAATGAGTGCTTTAACATTTCAGCTAGAGCGTCTTAATCTGAGCCACAATGAGCTGCATTTACTGCCTAACTCGCTGGCTCTCTGCGATCGTCTCTCAGTTTTGGTTGTCAAGAACAATCCTCTGATGCATCCTCCAGCACACGTGTGCGCTGAGGGCAGCAGTGCAATACTCGGGCATCTTTGGAGTCATTTGCCGTCTCCCAAGCTACCTTCCAGGTTTGCTCACAGATTATTTTCGTCTTGAGTTGTAAATTATTGTGTTTCTTAATTGTTATCTTTTGCATGTAAACTCATGTTGCTTAAGTTCGTCCATTTCTTAAGTTTCATATATTCATTTTTTGTTATAATTTGGATTGGAAAATCACGAGGTTATAGTTATTTTTTTTTCTGTCCATGTTTTAGGTACCTTGGCTGAATTTCAGCAGCCAAATATATAGGTATAAAAATGTACTGACAAGCAAAATTTACTCTGCAGTTTATGTTGTGAATATAAATTTACAATAAATTTTTAACAGAAAATTGTATTAGTTTTCAAGAATATTCTGCTTCTTTCTTGAGTTCTCATTGGAATTTACTTATATTACCTTGCTAATTTTTGCATCATGTTCTCCAGCCGAAATTTTCTCTATAGGAAATTATGCTTCAATTTAAGTCCTATGATCTAAGGCTTGCTTGCCTGTTCACTTCACATTGGAGTTATATTCATACATTTTCTCCTCTATTTATCCCCCAGTATTTCCCCCCTCCTCTATTTCTCCCCCAGCATCATACCCCAGTATTTCCCTTGGTAGTTTCTCCCATAATTTCCCCCATATTGTCGGGTGCGTGGCGACAACATGTCTGCGTCTGTCAACAACCCTGAGAGCGCCTGGAGACAGTACCAGCAGGGCAGCTACACCGGGCCTGGCAACAAGCGCAAGTGTCCTCTCATGCCTCCCAGAGACGCTGCTACGCTCCCGCCTCATAAGATAACTCAGGCACTCATGGGTTTGTTCTTTGCTATTAGTATAAACTAATGCACTTCATTAATTGAAACTTCTTGTCATGAGGTACCTGTTTTAAAGATAAAATGATTATTGGAGTCTCAGATGCCTTAGTTGATATTTATTTCAATTGAATTTAGGATACCAGCTAAAATCAATCATTGGAACATAAAGACAAAGCTATAGAATGGGAACCTGCTTGTGCATCCTGCTCATTGAGCTGTGCAGTGTTCCAGTGTCCATGCTGAGCTGTGCAGTGTTCCAGTGTCCATGCTGAGCTGTGCAGTGTTCCAGTGTCCATGCTGAGCTGTACAGTGTTCCAGTGTCCATGCTGAGCTGTGCAGTGTTCCAGTGTCCATGCTGAGCTGTGCAGTGTTCCAGTGTTCCAGTTTTAGCTTGCACGACCGGTGTTGCTGACCTACAAATTTTAGAATCCCTGTATATTTTTAAACAAAGCCCTAGTTTAAATGTAGCCTTAAGTTCCTATCCCCTAGAAATTGTAAAGGATAAGCCTCTCACCTCATGTTCATTTGTTTTTTCTTTTGTCAATTTAGGTTCTTATCTTCAATGAGAATATTAATTTTTTACTGATCTTGGTAGTCTTACAGGTTTTTGAAGTGACGATGGAGCTGGAATCCGAAACCTTTTCTCATATAAAGAAATTGTGAATTTGCTGGCTATTTTCTTTGCTTGTAAATTCTGAGTAAAGTTTTCATGAATTGATGCATTAAAGTTGAGCCTGCATAGTAACATGATTTTTGAGGAGCAAATTTGATTTTTGACGAGCAACATATTTTCTTTTTTAATCATTTTTAGATTGTCAAACTGATGATGGAGCTGGACTCCGCAACGTTTTCAATATTGATATGGTAAATTTGCTTGGTGTTTTCTTTGCTTTTAAATTCCTTGTGAACTTGCGATACAAGCAGATTGATAATATAAGTACTAACATAATTTTTATTTCGTTTCTCAATTGTGTGAAGTAATTCACAATTGTGTGAACTCACTAGTTCCAGTCAATTTACTAGTGGTTGTGTTAATTGAAGTCAGTGTAACTAGTTTCAATAGTACGATTAACACTAGTTACAGTCTTTACTAGTGGTTGTGTTGATTGAATTTAGTGTAACTAGTTTCTATATTTGCAGGCCTAGTGTACGGAGCGGTGGCGGCAGAAGCAGTGGGCCTGTCCTGTTCGACTGTATATGATCTGATCAACGCTGAATACATGTGATGCAATATGTTCTTAGCCCATAATGCCCAACGTGACATTCGGCGCGAGATAGCTTAGCAGCTGAAGCGCTAGTAATCATAGGGCCACTAAACTAACTAACTTGCATGTGGCAGCACTAGGGCCCCATGGCTGATCTCCCATGGTCAGCAATTGTCTCAGCTCGACGTGATAGAAATGTCCTTTTTCGTGTTTTTTATAGGCGCTTCACAGTAAATTGTTTGCATGTGCTCATTCACTGAGCTTATATGTTTATAGTTTTATGTCTAAATCTTCTGGGTGTTTCATGTTTAAGATTTCTTGCGAATCTTAGGATCAAAACATCGGCTGAGTTTGTTCTGCATGTATATATATCGTTTTAATTGACTTGTTCATTGATGTGCTCTGCGCCTGATCGCCGCTGTTGAATGCATAAGACGTTACTGATTGATTTCTCTGGTATTATTTTGTCAGAAATTAATTACCGCGAATTTGTTGCTGCTGTCATGATAAATGCTGAATAGTTGTCCAGACGAAGGACATGTTACTTTTTTTTGTTTTTTCTAGCACTCCACGACCCTGATATCAGCTGTAAATCATCCTCATATACTTGTTTTGGTTGCAGCTTGCAACCCTAGCTGATTTTGTAATTTATTTTTAAATTAAGAAATATAAATGTAATAGTATATACTATATTGCTGCTCAGCCGAAAGAGATCTTTATTTACAAGTTTTTTGTGCAGCTCACGACGCTGGAGACTGTGCTGCGGTGGGGCGGCGTCGTGGATGAGCTGGAGTGGGCAGCTCAAGCCCACCAGTGGACCGTGCAGGGCATCCCTGAACTTGACGACCGTCCGGGCGCCCCCATCTCTCCCCTCCTCGCCGCTGTGTGTGCGATACATTGCTTCACTTAGTTATATGCTCTTGCTAATGCAATGTGTTGTTAGTTGGCTCATTTATCTGCTGTATGTGTGATACATTGTTACACTTAGTTATATGCTCTTGCTTATGCAATGTGTTGTTAGTTGGCTCATTTATCTGCTGTATGTGCGATACATTGCTTCACTTAGTTATATGCTCTTGCTAATGCAATGTGTTGTTAGTTAGCTCATTTATCTGCTGTATGTGCGATACATTGCTTCACTTAGTTATATGCTCTTGCTAATGCAATGTGTTGTTAGTTAGCTCATTTATCTGCTAGGTTATGGCTGTCTCTTATACACATCTAGATGTGTATAAGAGACAGAATTTGGATTGGAAAATCACGAGGTTATAGTTATTTTTTTTTCTGTCCATGTTTTAGGTACCTTGGCTGAATTTCAGCAGCCAAATATATAGGTATAAAAATGTACTGACAAGTTATCTACTTAGTAACCTAACCATTGGCTTGTATATTAGGAATCATAAATGACAAGCAAAATTTGTGAATATANACACCTGCGGGTAATGCAGGCAGACACCTGCGGGTAATGCAGGCAGACACCTGCGGGTAATGCAGGCAGACGCCTGCACCTGCGGGTAATGGCCAGAGAATGCATTGATTTAAGTTTTCAGAGGGTCGAACAATTGATTTAAGTTTTCAGAGGGTCGAACATTAATCGCGCATGTACAAGCAAGCTTATTCTGCCAACTAATACTAAGGACAAATGCTCATAGCCGCAAACTTGTTGAGAAATATAAAGAGCAATGAAGGTCATCTCGCTCAGAGTAATTCATAATGACGGCGTGAGGAGATATTGTTTGGACTCGTTCAGAGAGAGACTTGAAGGCCATGAAGGTTTTCTGTGCCGGAGCGATGCATAACAACTAGCGAGGGCTATTTAGGCTGTAAAAGATACTTAGAAGTAGTGAAGGTTATCGTGCCGGGAACGACGCATGCAGACGAGTATGGGGAAAATATTTGTGAAATTCCGAGCTTGTTAAATGATAGTCTTATAGTCAAGCAATTTCGGTCTTGTCACCCGGAAGGATTTGCAACAGCGTGTAGAAGACACGAAAAAGTACTACACATTTTTCAAAAAGGTATGAAATTGTAGATCCTATTAGCTGTGGTAGACAATTTTGTCCTTCGATCACTTACGGAAACGGACTCAATTTAGGATCTGGTACCATTTACATATAGTTTGACCAACAATTGTGCGTATAGTATTTTTAGCTTGGGATGAAAGTTACATAGAAGTTGTAAACCTGGTAGTAAATTTAGCGTATGTCATCTAGACATTATTCAATTCATTTGTTACAGGGCCGTTTTGAAGGCAAGTTGACCAATACAGCTGCGATTGAGGAAATCTTGGACGACCTCTTCAGAACGGCTGTGCTGTCGATGCCCGAGAGTCTTGAGAAGGCAACACTGACGAAGCTTTGGACTGGAGACTTGGCCCCAAGGGAGGCTAACTTACCGTCGTCCCACGTGGCTCTGACGCTCGCGTACCTCAAGCAAGCCTTACTGAGTTACTGTGCAGCGGTCTTTGGCCAAGATTCCTCTCTGGACATCCAGCGTAATGAAGTCAATGTTAACGTGCCTTATGATACTGGTAGCGAAGATAGAAAGTATACCGGGAGTAAGGGAGTCAGTAGGATGCTCTCGGATAGTGTATTGAGCATTGCATCTAAATCGGCAACCAGCGAAGCCGCTGAAAAAACCCGCAGCAGGAGTCTTGTTAGTAGCCCTGTTGAAATTCGTATCAATGACGAGGTCGCTTCTGGGATGTCATCAGACGTTCATGTCTTGGATGAAGTAGGCCTCCATAAAAATGACAAAGAAGAATCAACGATGTATTTACCGAACAGTTCTTCTGAAAGTCCGGCATTAACAGCCTCTTCCGCTGACGCTGCCAAGGTGTTCAAGAACGTTGTGAGTGAGATGTGCATGGAGGGAGGCTGGGGTGTGTGTGCTCAGGCCTGTGTCGTGGGAGGAGTGTTGGGTGCCTTTGGGGGGTACGACGCTCTGCCCACTGACTGGCTCAAGAAATTCCCTGCCTCCAACAAGCGTTACCTCAATGCAAGGGTTAACTTCCTACTTGATTTGTTTGGACTACCTTAGGAATAAAGTCAAGATGTTACTAGGCTGTCGAAAATTATGAAATTACCTAAGTTTAGTTTGACCATCTGGAAGCATTAAATTTTGCAGTGTTTACTATTATTATTGTTGTGATAATTATTTCTGTTATATAATTAAAAGTTTTTGCTGCAAGTGATGGGCGCGTGTTACTTGTTAATAATTTGTCGATTTTGTATTTTGATTAAATGCTGATATGAATGCGTGTTCAATTTTGTAAATCTTTTACTTCATTTATATAATATCTGTTTTTTGTAATGTCTAGTTCTCAATATCACATTCCTTCTATTTTTATTGTTTTTAGCTTTTACATTCCTTTGTTTAAGATCTGTGGTATTTTGAAGATCTGGGCCTGTTTTGTATAGCTAATTAAAGAGACTTTATACGCAAATATTTATTTGTTTTTACCAATTAATGAATCTATTCAACTTAAATGTTGTTTTGGGATTTTATTATTCAATAGTTATTAAAAAACAAGCTAGCAATGCGTGAAATGTCTGCATATTCTAAATAATTGAGTATATAATTTGTTCTTCCATCACCGCATTGCCGACAAACTGTCATTTGAATAGATTCGGTAAACGCATTGTGAGCGCATGTAACTAATTCTTTCTCAGGAGACAACAATTTATTTCGGTCCAATGTTGGCCGATTGATGCAAGTTGAGATTGATGTAGGCACGTCGTAATGTATGGCCAGTATTAGAGTGCACAGCTCTACACATTACAATGCATTCATTGACTCTTCTAACTTCTTCCGTCCGTATCAAGAGGCCGTCTATAAGTTACAAATATGTAAGAGGCTATAAGTTACAAATATGTAACTTATAGCCTCAATTTATATGTTTATTTTCGTCTAGTCTAAGTTATGCTTCCTGGTGATGGTGTGAAGCTTCTATTGTGTGGTGCTGCGTGAAGTGGAGAATCATAATTAATCGCTTGATGTTTGATGAAGAAAAGAAGCGACATACCTCGAGAGCTTGCGTCTTCCTTAAACCGTGGTTCCCTAATATTTATTCGTGATATTTTATTTATGCGAGGCTCCGTACTGCCGCCGCGCACCTCTAATGCAACACATTAGCTGCTAATATGTGCTACTATTTGCAATTTACATTTCTTAATGCGCATTAAGTAAATTTGTTGTTTTAGTGTGGGCCGCTGAGATCTGTTTTGTGGCGTGTGGCAGTAGTTGCATATCTGTGCCGCGTTATATCGAGTTAGACATTTTTGTGCAGTGTAAACAAGTAACGAAATGTTGTTCATGAATTCGTAAATTGATATAGTTACCGTAAGTGCATCTTTTACCACCGGGAAACACCGCGCATGCTAATAGTGGTAAGTTTGAGAGCCACTCTTCTAGTGGGGATGGTTTTTCATAATTGAGTTGGATTAATTTTATATTTAATTATTTCAGTTTATGCCGAATGTTTTAGGTTTATTTTTTAACTATAATATTAGTTAAAATATATTTTTATTGTTGGGTTTTGGTGTTGATAATATTAACAGGTGTTGATATTTTTCATTTACAGTGTTCTATTGCTGATTATTTCTGATGTATTGTACATTACAAAAATTACAGTTCACCTCGTACGTGTCCTCAAAGTTTATGATAAATAAAAAAATATTCACTTTGTTGCCTCATTATATTACTTAAACCTTTACTTCACCGCATAAACGTAGGTATAATTCTTTCAATTTTATTTGTCTGCCGTTAATGCCACTTGAGTCGCCAACGCATTAATTTCGCCTCCCTTCAAACGAACACTCGCTTTATGAACAATTTAACACAAACTTGTTTACAGTCGCAAACAGCAGCCATTTAGTTCCATATGTAAATTAAACAAATATGTTTAATGTCAGCTATGGAAAGATCGGGTTCCAAAGGCCGGATCCCTTGTGAATCAAGCCATGAAAAGTTCAAGAATCGGCAACAGGCCATGGGCCTATTTCTTCAACGCCGACACTTCTATTCTATTCTATTCTAAAACAAAACAACATTTTCTCGGTTTATATCCCGGCACAAGTATCGCGGTTACGCACCAGAAGAGCCCCTTGATATTTCGGCGCCTTGCTACAAACACGTACGCGAACTTCAACAAATGTACAAGATCAGGGTAGTTATCAAAACAATTGTAACATTCCTGATATCGGTTTCAATTGCTTTCCAACAATCAGTTGACTTCGAAAATGCTCTGATATTCGACAGCTATTATTCTACATTAACTTCATAGCAAAATACACGATAAATTTATTTTTTTCGTTTTGGCTTTTTGCTACGAAAAGAATTGCGGGATGTGCAACTAGACATGGCTGCATATTCAAACTAATGAACTGAAATTTCAGACCAGATACTCTTACCAGAGTAACCTTTATAGGGACTCAAGTTGCAAGTAGATTAGATGGCGAAATCTGTGACAGGTAGAGGTTGGTAACTCATGGTTGAACTATGGTAGAACTTGGTAACTCATGGTTGAACTAGGGTAGAACTTGGTAAGTCATGGTTGAACTAGTTCAACCATGGGTGACATAAACTTGGTGATCCGCAATTAGCCCCAAAGCCCAAACGAAACGCATTCGAGGTTTAGTCTTTGTTGAGCGGTCACAGTGGTAGTGTGTGCGTGCCTCTTGCTCAGTCGTTTACAAATCAGCTGCACGGCAGCAGCTGCATCATTGCTCCTTAATGGGCTTTGTCTTCTACGCAATTAAGTGGAATTCTGTACTATTGCTGTAGAATATCTTTAAGCTTTGTTACGAATTAGTTATTTCTTTTCGGTTTTGCGAGCTTTAGGGCATTAACAAGGGATAAAGGTTCCAAGATACTTAGTTGAAAACGCTTGGTATTAGTCAGGACGCCACGACGAATTACGCACGTTGCCGAAACTCGTCTTTCTCAGACATTCGTCTTTGTTTCAGGTAAGCATTATATCTATTCACGCTTAGATAATTGAAGAATGAATGGCCATAAATGCCCTGATAAACAATCTATCAAGATACAATACTTAAGTTTGATGATTGGGTTGCATTTTGCGAGGAAGCTTCTTGGCACGACAGCTTTACAAGACGCATCTTTCGTAACCCACACGAGGCCCCCTCTAGAATTTTGCCAAATCATTGAAGTTGATTCATCTGTTGGTAATCAGGCAGGGTGGAAGTTGAAAAATTATGGTACATATATTCAAGACAGTTCCATCTTGGTAACATGCTTTGTTCCAAAATATCACTCTAGTCATATGAAAAAGTAGTATTGATCAATCAAGGTTTTCCTGTCTTATGTTACATGTGTAACGGTAGTTTTGCATCTTTTCATATATTACTCTTCCTGAATTCCTCCTTTTATTTTAATAAATGAATAAATAAAAAAGCAGACACTAGGCAAAGATAATTTAAAGGAGTTCTCTGACCTGGACAGATCACTCCGAACTCCCTAATTATATTTACTAAACTATCAAGGGATCAAACTATTGAATCAAATGTACTATTGAATTACAGCTGGTAATTATAATTATATGTAGGAATCGTTATATATATACGCCTTCATGCATACCTCTTTCTTATGTTTGTTCTTACGAGTGTCTAAATGTTATTTTATTTAATTATTTGTTTATTCATTTAATAAACACACAAGGTTCAACAAAGGAATCAATTGAAGCGTTTTCAATGAAGCGTGCCGGTATTTTAAAAATGATTCCGTTTCTAAATGGATTAAGTTTGATAAATTGCGTCTCTTGTCCTTGCCCAAAAGTTCGGAACGGTTTTCGCACGAAACAACAAAAAAAGTTTCTTTCGTGCAGTTTCGACGGTTACTTTGATTTTCTGTTCCGATTGTTTCTTCTATTATAAATTCTTGTTCTAAGCGGTCGTGATTGGATGTATTCTACTCCTATGTTCTCGCGTCACGCCACTCGCCACTCGCTTCATGCCACCCGCTGCACGCCACTCGCCACTCGCTTCATGGACACGCATGGCTGCTTGTTGCTAGCCAAGGTCCCGGTAACAGCGGCCTCGTGCGCGCGTTGTTGCGATGACTTAGCGTTGTTAGCGTTCTTCTGCTGGCGCTGTTAGCGTTCTTCTGTTGGCGCTGTTAGCGTTCTTCTGTTGGCGCTGTTAGCGTTCTTCTGTGCCACTCGCCACTCGCTGCACGCCACCCGCCACTCGCTGCACGCCACTCGCTTCATGGACATGCATGGCTGCTTGTTGCTAGCCAAGGTCCCGGTAACAGCGGCCTCGTGCGCGCGCGTTGTTGCGATGACGTTGCGCTGTTAGCGTTCTTCTGCTGGCGCTGTTAGCGTTCTTCTGCTGGCGCTGTTAGCGTTCTTCTGCTGGCGCTGTTAGCGTTCTTCTGTTGGCGCTGTTAGCGTTCTTCTGTTGGCGCTGTTAGCGTTCTTCTGCTGGCGCTGTTAGCGTTCTTCTGTTGGCGCTGTTAGCGTTCTTCTGTTGGCGCTGTTAGCGTTCTTCTGTTGGCGCTGTTAGCGCGTCTGTTGCGTCCATGTTTAAGTAAATATTATTAAATTATCATTAAAAAAATATTTATCGATTTTATTGTTAAAGTATTACAGTTATTCTTTTATTTATGCTGATTATGCCTAAACGGTCACTCTACTTTTCATTCAACTATCTAACATAGTATTCAATTAAATTAACACATTTCTCCAGCCTTGTGAGAACCTAACTCCATTCAGTAATCATTTATTGAAGAAATTTATAAATGACCAAACCAACATGCCTAAAAATATTACAGACGTAAATTAAGATATTTTTCGAGTTTGATGGAGACCTAACTTCATTTGTGACGGTTATTGTTCAATTAACTAATTCAGAACTGCTAAACCAACGTACCTTAATTTATTACAGGCACTGCGTAGGTAAAATTATACAAGCTTAATCGATTTGACGAAGTGTAAATTTACTCTTCAATTTAATTATTTCTAGATTACAAAATTTTCGAACTTGTGATTGAACTGGTCTCCGATACATCTTCAGTTAAAACATGATAAAAAGTTCTTGGATTGATGCTTAGTCTAAAGCTTAGTCACCTTGACTATAATTTGTTATCATATGCTTTTCGATATATCACTATTATCGCTTACCTGCGATCCGCGTGATATTTGTATGGTAGATCAGATAAAAGTTTAATGTGCTCCTCCTTTAACATGATAATTCTAACGAGTGACTGTGACCGTAAAATCTAATTAAGAGGCCTAAAACTTAAATGAATTTAATAACTTTGATATTTTAAGTGCTTTTGGGGAGGTCAGGTACAAAACACCAGAGTTTCTTAAAGATATTCATGTAATTACGAAAGTTGTTTAGTTCAACTATGGCGTATTTTAGGACGGTGCGGNTTTAAAGAATAGGCCTGGATAGGCCTGTCGCCGATTCTTGTAATTTTCTTGACTAGACTGGCCTTTTGATCAGATCTTTTCAACGGACGGTAGATTTAAAATAGCTTCTAGATATCAGTTGTTCCGTAGGGTACGAGGCATTTTGTCATACATCGTACAGAACGACTCGCGACTATATCAGGCTTAAAAGACGGAAGCGAATTTCGTTAATATTTGCAAATTAGTCGAAATTAAATTAGTCGAATTACAAATTAGTCGAAAGTTGAAATTTTCAAACCACGCTTGCGGGGGATTTGCTCAGTAGCCCAACAAATCTCGGGACTTAGGGATCATTGAAAACGTTTATTAAAACGCACATATGTTTATTATTGTTCACTGAGGAACTTAACCAGGCTTCTGAGATGCTGGTATGAAGTTTCCGCTGGGCATCACCATGGCAGAGGCCAGGCGCCTCGTAGCAGAGGCCAGGCGCCTCGTAGCAGAGGCCAGGCGCCTCGTAGCAGAGGCCAGGCGCCTCGTAGCAGAGGCCAGGCGCCTCGTAGCAGAGGCCAGACGCCTCGTAGCAGAGGCCAGGCGCCTCGTAGCAGAGGACAGGCGCCTCGTAGCAGAGGACAGGCGCCTCGTAGGACAGAGGCCAGGCGCCTCGTAGGACAGAGGCCACGCGTCTCTACCACAGATCGTATAGGCGCTGACACGACGGTTCCCTGCTCGTCATCCCCGCTGCTGGTCCCAAGGTCGCGCTTCTCTTTACGGATTTCAAAAGCTTGTTTTTGTAATATAAAATGCGGTTAGAATTTGTACATGATGCATGGTACTGCTGCTGTTCATATATGTCATAGTTTACTGCCGTGCCCTTACCAAGAAACAACTACCTACCTACTAAGTTCGTTTGCTATTTGACACTTCTGTTGATACTGCTATACTACAGCTGTTGCTGCTGTTGCTAATTCTGCTACTGCGCTGCTGCTGCAGAGTAGCACTTAGCGTTATCTCTGTAACACTTCTGTTGCTGCTGCAGAGTAGCAATTAGCGTTGTCTCTGTAACACTTCTGCTGCAGTAGCAATGTAATACACTTGGTGAGCAACACGTCTGCTGCTGTTGCACGGTAGCACTGCAGCGGCTCAGCTGCCGCCTTATAGCAATCGATAGCGTCGACCAGTCGCCCTCATCCTGCAGCAATCTGCTGCCATGCAGCGCACAGTTTGCTCATGTTTCTGTGTTGAAGATCGCGTTCAAATTGTACTGCGGTCGCTTAATTAACTTCGTTGGTAAACATGCCTAAAGTTCAATTTTGCGGATAGCCATTTTCCTGCCCATATTCCGTAAGACATTTTAAAATTAATTCATCTATATCAATTATAATAATTCGTTTCTATCAATAAGCCGATTGAATTAGAATTTTGTAACTTGCATTAATGGGAACGGGGGGAAAATTACTCCTGTTTCAGCGTATGGCAATGTTGAGATATTAAGTTTATTATGTTTTAATTCGTCAAGCCTGCACGATTTAATCATGCTAGATTCCTGATTATCCTGTATTAATATACGCTGTAACTTTTTATTAGTATGTGCCCTATTAAATATTTTTTTGTATTCTGCGTTTAAGCTGAGCACAGTTTCTACACGAGCTTTTGTGGATAAATAATTGCTTGTGAGTATCTCGAAATATTCAGAGTGCTTCTATTGACTGACATCACACTGATTCAATATACATACATCACACTGATTGCCATAGACATACATCACACTGATTACCTACACACACATCACCCTGATTTCCATGTACACACATCACACTGACTTCCATGTATACACATCACACTGACTTCCATGTACACACATCACACTGACTTCCATGTACACACATCACACTGACTTCCATGTACACACATCACACTGACTTCCATGTACACACATCACACTGACTTCCATGTACACACATCACACTGACTGCCATGTACACACATCACGCTGACTTCCATGTACACACATCACACTGACTTCCATGTACACACATCACACTGACTTCCATGTACACACATCACACTGACTTCCATGTACACACATCACACTGACTTCCATGTACACACATCACACTGACTTCCATGTACACACATCACACTGACTTCCATGTACACACATCACACTGACTTCCATGTACACACATCACACTGACTTCCATGTACACACATCACACTGACTTCCATGTACACACATCACACTGACTGCCATGTACACACATCACACTGACTGCCATATACGTCACGCTGACTTCCATGTACACACATCACACAGCTGATCCTTATCTCCCTGAGATAAGCCTGAGGCCATACTTTCAAAACTCGCTAAGTGAACGTAAGTACTTACGCTCTATTTTCTTGCCTATGATTGGTGGATTTTGCTTGAAAAGCCGTCAATGATTGGCTGATGAACTTAAGACACCGTAACTTTTTTTTAAAGTATGGCCCCTGATGGGCTGATAACGCCCGAGCTCTCCGAGTCACAAGGAAAGTCTCCGGTTACTGAACACCAGAGATTTGTTGTTGGGTTCTTCCTGGGTCGAAAAGTAC